TTCAACATATTTTTGCCAGTTTCATTTAATCTGTAATCCTCGTGACAGTGGTAATATGGGAGTCTGGGACAGATTAAGCTCTGGAAGATGGAATGGCATTCATTCTTGTGACAGCTTTGACGTGATCCTTGACCCACGACTGAAATTCATGGCGGAGGCTCAAAAAGAACTATTGAGCGCGGCACGAGCATATGAGTCTGTTTTTGGGTGCTAGGAGGCAGACCAAGGGGCTGAGACTAAGAGGGAGGCGTTGAACTCGAAGAGGCATAATCCCAGCTTCTGTGCACAGCGGCGCAATCATGGAGCGATGATGGAGAGAGTGATCATTGGCGTATGAAGCTAACGTGAACTTGGATAAACTGTTTCACATGTACGGTGTACCTGCCCGGCGATATTTCACACGCGCGTAGATCAGGAAGCAGTCGACAAGCCATTTATTAGTTTGAGTTCTCTTAGTGTTAGACTGGCCATGTCAATGATCTTCTGATTCGGCGTCCATGACAGCGCGCTGCGCGTGCATTTACTTTATAATCATCATTGAAAATATTATGAGTGTCTGTGTGCAGTGACCCCGCAATATTTTCCCCGTATTGAAGCTGAGTTCCGTTTCATGGCCAAGTGGGAATATTTAATCAGGGTGGCAAATTGTCCCTCCAAAAATTAAATTTTGATCAGGTTGACAAGAATAGACTTCTACGCGCACCATTGTTTCGTTCCCGAGTGGCTAATTTGGAATTGAGAGCAAGGGAGGGAGACGTTAAGCAGGTCGTCAGGCTGGGCCAGTATGTAATGAAGGGGGTGCGCCGTTACAGCAAGGAAGATCCTCAAAGCATTCCTACGTCTGTCAAATGTTCCACCGGATCGATTCCGGATTCCTAGTCAAAACAACGCATGACCGTTGATTGACATGCCTCCGCTATGCATGGACGCGCGAGCTCGGGTATACTATTTGTGTACCAACTTTGCTTACGCAGAACTTGGCAGTTGACAGGCGGATCAGAACCGGCAAGGTGGCAGTGCAAGTCGTCGATGAAGGCGGCACTGGAAGCAGAGACCGGCGACAGCGACGACTGAGCACCGTGGCACAATATAGTAGCGGTGCATCGAAAGAGCAGGCTCAACGTATCCTACAAGAGGTGAAACGGAGCGCGGACGACAAAAATGAGCTGGATGCGGGTCCCGCGAAACGGATGTACCGTAGATCCAATTTTTTTCATATTCTCGACCTTCATCTAGCACCAGTCATCTGCGGAAGGGGCTTGCATGGGACTCCGGGGACTGCTGCAGCACATTGGCGAGGCAGAGCGCGGTAGTGCCAGAGGCAGCCAATTTCGGCATTTCGATGATGGTGGTAGGATAAAGAATTGATGAACGCAATCCTAAGAGCACGGAAACACGTGGGGCGAAATGTACATGAAAAGAGTATTTCCTCATTAGACGGAAGAGTTGAACTGCGCCCGTAACGAGATATATGTACGGTTCTTTCTCATGGCCAAAAGAATGAATCCGGCGCTTTCTACTTATATCAAATGTCCACGAGGGTTCAAAGACACCCCCCAGGTATGCAGCTAAACTGATATGAGCGAAATGGTCATCTGATAATTACTTGAACTCACACTCCTCCGCAGCAGGCGGATCCGGCGGACGTACAGCGCTGCTGGTTATGTTAACCGAGCCAACGGGCAGTAATTAGTTTAACGTACCCAAGTTGGACTGCCTGCAGATCAGTTAGCGGCGATTCATAAATGCAGCATAGAAGCTTGGACACGCACAAGCTGCTCGATCTTGGAGTGTGGCAGATTCCGCAACCTGTCCGAGGACAAAGAGCGCGAGGAGGGCGGTAGTGAACAATTTGTGGAACATTGAATCGGGCTTGAAGGAGGCAGCTATTATATAGTCTGTGCGAAATGAAACAATGGTGCACAGGAGTGTAGATAGTAACCACCTGAGTCTTTGCGTACAGAGAAGTAGTGGAGGAGACTCGAGTACAGGGCAAATATATAGCAAGTAGTACGAGTGGCTGGATATTAATAAATGGATCGCAGGAGCACCCGAATATAACCAGAAGGGGGAACTCAAAGAACTGACTCACGCTGCCGTCCTCAAGTCGGTCTGAATACCAGGCCGGACGTCCGATAATGCGGAAATAAACGTTGTTGACTTGTCGCTGATGTTATCATTTTCTTTTGCGCCGCACGACAGCTACGTTTTGGGCATGGCATCCCAAATGAACAGGTCAGTCAGCGGTTGGTCAGCGTTGCCAACTCCTTGCCATCCAAGACAACAGACCGCTTGGCCTCGATTCTTGTCCAGTCCAGTCTACTCACTTCTGCTGCACAAGAGCCTCCGGGATGTGAAGGATCGTTCAGCCTTCGGCGGTCTGAGTTGGATGCAGTCTGATCTCTCCACACATTTCTTGGGACTATGTACATAATATTTCGCCCAAATTTCCCCATTCCGATTCCCATCGCTCCTAAGTAGATGCATAGCGCTAACGTTCGTAGCTGTGGCGGCCGTTCGTTCTTACGGGTATGAAGACTGTGCTAGTCAATCGCACCGAGTCCTTGATCTTCCTTTGATTTTATCCGAGAACGCCACGGCCATCTGTCGGTCTTAGCATCAGCCGGCGATCGGACACTGTGGTAGCTAGGTAGGTGGAAAAGCAATGGTAGGCATCTTTGCAATTGACACAAGAGGTTGAGCTGCGGGCGTCAACCAAATATATGTACGGTTCCCTCTGGAGGCTGAAGGGATGTATCACAACGTCCTCTCCTGTATCCAATGTCCAAGAGGATTCGAGGACGTGCCCCAAACAAGCAACTATACAGATATGCAACAAGTTCATTGAGATCTTGAATGAAGTCCCAAGATGGATACGTATCGAGATACGAGTATCTTTGAACTACGCGCCGACGAATACAATAAGCCAGACAAAAATGCTTCATGTTAAGTATTGTGACATTAGTGGCGGTCAGAGTAGAATTTAAATCCTGATTCTGAGGCCAATTCTAGACTTAATTCCCCAAATAATTTATTGTGGGAGAATCGTCAAAATCTAGAATGGCCTCAGAATCGTCGAATCCGTGCAAAAGCACCTCCAGACCAGAGGAGCGTCTATAACGATTCTAGAGGCGATTCCGATTTTCGTTTAACTCAACACCTTGAAGACTATCAAAATTTGAACAAAGAAGAACGAAAAAAAGACCAACTCAAATGAAAGTTACTGATAGACTCGTCACCAGTCTGCCTGCGATGAGCAACACATGTGGCGAGCACGTTGCTGCACAAAGAATATATTTTACTTTACATACAGTCGCAACAGGGAAGCGAAACATTACGTAGAAGTGAAACACTACACTGTTTGATGATATGGACATCGCCAATAACCCTGATTTTTTAGGACAGAAGACTTCTCATTCAGAAATGGATGTTCACAAAAAGAAGTGCCTAAAAGCCTCCTGTAGATCCCATATTATCTAAGTTTGTTCAGACTAAGAATTTGCAGTATTCTGCTGCAGTTGCACCGTCTGGTGTTTTGTGTGTTTTGTCTGAGCATATGGATTGGGAAGTGTCAACAAGGTGTTTTTAAGGTTGTAATACATATCTTGCATTCTCAGGTCTCGCGGCGGAGGTGTGCTGAATTGTTTTGAAGTGTTTCGTTTCCTGAGTTCTGCGAAAGATCCTCCTCGTTCTCCATGACCAAAAAGCCAAACCGCACGGTTCTTTGACTTTTCGGAAGGCAGGGACGGTCCTCTGTTTTCCTGAAACAAAGAATGATGTCATTGGAGCATAGCGGCACCGGCAGCGAGGCGCGTAATCTGAGCGTTTCACTTCGCAGTTTACGACTGTACTAGTACTGTACTGTACTTTACTTTACTGTATACTGTATGCATATATACATGGATCAATGACTGGCATGTACCAGTGCGCCAGTGCAATTTGCGCGACGCCGGGAGGCCAATGAGGGCGCGGGCGTGCGGGGTAAAGACGGGAATAGCTGTTGCGTTTTGCAGAGATTCGGATACTGCGATAAAACAGCGCGCGAATTTGAATAGAATAGAGTGAGTGGGATGGGATGGGGGATGAAAAAGTATGAAGTGTGAACGAATGTGAACACCGAGCTGCGAGGAATTGTACATGGAGACCCCAGTTCGACTCTGGGATAGGTCATTGATTCACCGCTTGACTGGTTCATTTTAAATTCACAGCCGCGTATATTCTGGCTCAATTTAATAGGAGAGAAGACCTGTAGGCGCACTCGGCAGCGCACCCACCATAACTTAAAGGCTTGGCTCTGAGAACTATGTGGGAGGCCTAGTTCGACTCTGGGGCAGGTCATTCGACCATCTCGCCAACGTATTTTTATCCGGTTCGTTTCATTTTAAATTCAAAGCTATATTCAGGCTCAGTTAGGATAACAGAATGACCCGTTGGCGCACTCAGTAGTGCACCCACAGTAATTTGGTATCGTCAATGATAGTTATAGGGGAGGCCCCAGTTCGACTCTGGGATGGGCCATACATCCCCCTTTGAGCATTTTTTGCCCGGGCTGGTTCATTTTTCAAATTCACAGTCGCGTATATTCTGGTTCAATTTAATGGGAGAGAACACCTGTTCGCGCACTCGACGGCGCACCCACGTCCGCTTGTTGAAAAATCCAACAGTCGGTGGGAGACTCCAGTTTGACTCTGGGGTGGGTCATGGCGTCTTCTCGTTAAGACATTTTTTGTCCGGCTCGCTCATTTCATTTTAATTTCAATGCCTCCACTTCCACTATTTAATATGGTACAATTAGGATACCATGAAGACTTGTTAGGGCAGATGGTAGCGCGCCCGACAGAAATTCAATATCGACACCTATGCAGGCGGGCCCAATTCGACTCTCGGATGGGTCATTCGACATTTCGGTGCGCCCATTTTTGTTCCGGCTTGTTCCTTTCATTTTAATTTCAGAGCTTCCACTTCCACTATGTAATACGGTACAATTAGGATACTATGAAGACCCGTTGGCGCACTCGGTAGCGCACCCACAATAATTGATGTTTTCACATCCAGCGAATTTACGTGGGAGGCCCCAGCTCGACTCTGGGATGGGTCATGCATTATATCTCGTGTAATTTTTGTTTCGGGCCGTTATTTCATTTTTCTCTGAACCTTCCGCACTGCCATATATATTCTGGTTCAATTCAAACAACAGAAGGACCTATTTGGCGCAGATGGCAGCGCACCCACCCACAATAATTCCATATCTCAGAGTTACTTGCATTTGTGGGAGGACCCACTGCCACCCAGTTCGACTCTGGGATGGGCCATCATTAAGAAGTTCCAGCATTTTGTTCAAGGTGTGTCTAGATCACCTTGTTTTTACCCAGAACCCTCCGCTACAGATCGCAGTTCAACTAACAAGATGGAACGACCTGTTGGCGTGGTCGGCAGCGCAGCCACCCATCATAACTGGATATACCCTCGACAGTTATGTGAGTGGTCCCAGTTCGACTCCGGGCCGTATTGTTCATTTGAGTCCAAAATTCGTACATCGAGGTGGATGGATACTGTGCAACGGGCTCAGGAACGGGAAGTACCGCCGCTTGGACGGACGGACAGGTATTTTGTTTTATTTATGAGGCGGGGAGTAGCTCTTTATTTATTCGAAGGGGGCAAAGCGATATTTACTCTGACTTGTGCGTATCAAAACGCCGGAGAACACAGGACCCTAACCCTAACCCATAAAGGCGAGTCCTTGTCCGATCGAGATGATTCCAGTGAGGAAGATGCTCCAAATCATATTAGCCCTCAAGGATAAAAAGAGGCCCCCTCCAGAAAAGGCTGCCCATGCCCCATTAGACAAATATGCTATCAAAACGGCGACGACGACCGGAATTTTCCATCAATGACTACGGCGCCTGTGAAGAATGTGCTGAGGAAGACGACAGGCAAAAGTGCCAGAAAGTGTAGAGGTTGGCCCCAAAACGTTTGTAAGGGGGGGGGGCATTCTAGGCATTCTAGGCATTCTAGGCATTCTAGGGAGAAGAGGGGGCTTCGGAGTCGGGAGCTCCTCATCAAGCACCTGCACACCTTCACAATCATTAGAAAGCTCTGCCACAAAAAAATTAGAAATGAGAATTACATTCTGTTCGCTTGCATTTGAATCTACATGACGATCCAAGCTGCTGCTCCGAGACTTTGCGAGAACTAATTAGATGATCTGGTGGTGAAATGCGAATTTTTCTCACTGAGGGACCGGTGGGAGTTGCTGGTACCGTCCGCGAGCGTTTGCTGGCCATAGAGTCGGAGGCAGCACCAGGCTTTTTCCGTTTCAAGTCAAATTGTGCAAAGATTCTGGCACAAGATGTTCCCTGAGAAGAGAAACTACCCAATGTCGAGTGCCCTGAGCTTCAGCCAGTAGTTCCTGGGATTGTCGAAGGCCGGGGAGTGCTTGAAGAGGCCAATTTTGGACAAAATTCCCTGACATAGTGTGAATATGGGCTTTCGCTAGTGAACCTAGAGCCACAGTCACAGATCCAGAGTCCAGAAGACATCTCAGGCGCCAAGCAAGGTCTAGGCGCTCATGGAAGTCGGGAAAAAGGCTTAATATGACTTTGTGATGGGGCGGAGCTCGGCAGAGGCAGTGCCGATTTCATCAAACTGATTTCAGCTTGCACGTCACACACAAGGCTACAAAAGTATTTTACGACACTTGCAACAGGCTTGCAACTAACTTATCTGAATTCATAATCATGTATGAGCCCTTCTCGTCAATCAGCAGCGAGTTCCACGCGTTTTTCCTGATGTCAGCGTGGTTGGTTTGGCTAGGTTCGGCTGCGCAAAGTTGTGGTTTGTTCTCGAGACCAGGCTTTGAAAAGATGAGTAACAGAGATGAATGAAACCAGTGCAAGGCTCCGCGAGACTAACGAGAATGACAACCCTAACCTCGAAGAAGAGGAGAGGGAGAGACGGAACGATGTTTGCCGATTCGCCGATTATCCGTTCTCTTAACGAGATATTTCGAATCAGTTTGTATGTCTTTGGTAATATCCCCATCGTGGTTCTTCCTCCAAAGTGCTTTGCACAACACAATTTCAACTCCCACCGTGCCGCAGTAATTATACAACATCTCCAGATTCAGCTCGACGGAACCCGCATCCCATCCATACTCCCGCTCGCACCTCAGGTGCCGCCTGAGTGACCCATTTTGAGTCAAAATTAGTCGCATTGGCTTGCCGCGGACTGCGCAGCACAGCCCAGACCCCTGTGGATTCTCACTGCGGGCGTAGTTACTACTTCTTTTCAACCTCCAGACTGTCCTCTGGATGTAGAGTCGCGGCTGAATTTGGATCATCAAAATGAACAAGCGAATCCCGTGGGTGGCCCGTGGGCGGGCGGCGGCCGTAGCTCAACAGCTTTGCATAAATCTCCCACTGTGCCGCGGATAAACACGTCTGTCGTGCTGCGTGCTGCGGCCACCTCATACCTGCGTTGAGTATAAAGAAGATGTAATCGATGTGCAGCTTCTTCCTGGCTCCTCACTTACTTCCGTGGTTCGTTCTAAGCCCGGTTCAAGTTCAAAACATCTCATTCAGTTCCTCACGGATTCAATACCTAGTGTCTGTGCTATTCGGCTACTTTTTAACACTCTTCCATGTCCATAGTTCAAAACTCTACAACCTTTGCTGCAAGTGTGTTCCCATGCTGTTGTTCGGCGATCGGAGGTGACTCTTGGGGCAACACATCACCCAAAGGGTAAATAACCTAGATAGTCAGCGAGTTCAGCCCGGGAGTCCTTCTGTGTTGTGTACATCAAGTCGCGGGGTCCGATTCTGGAGACAGTATGGCTGCAAACTATTCCAGTGAGCCCAAGAATTCTCCCGGGAATTCCGTGGCAAGGTGAGTAACGTACACTCAATATTTCATCCTTCGAGTTGTCTCTCTTCTACCTCCCATGTGGGCTGTTGGCCGTCGGTTTCTCCAGTCTATGCTTAGAAAAGCCCGTTAACCCGTTTGTTTTTGTCCATGTACCACCTGGAACGAAATTTGATTCAAATGTACGCTTTTCCTGTGCTAGTAGCTCGTTTGAGTCCAGTCCAGCTTTCTCTTGCGAGCAGCGCTAGTTTATTCCATCCTCCAAACCAACCATCGTTTCACGCCTATGCGACGTATATAAACACGCCATTCAAATATTTTCATTGTCGTGAGGTACTCTCATACCCTGTGCATCCCATTTTCCTAGGTAATAAGCCCTATACCATCCTCTGCGCAAAACCCTGCTCTGAATTTCCCAAGAGCAGCACAATTTAGCTGCTCCGATGCTTACAGCGGAGCGCGAATACGGCATGCCCGATGGCAGCTTGAATGCAAGATAAGGTACCTCATGATCATGTTGAACTCACTTTGATTGGATGATTGTCTTGCGCATGCGAGAATACCTCCTCGTGATGTTCCTTCCACCGCCAAGGGTGGCTGGCACTGGGAGTCTGGAACCCAAATAGCATGACATTCTGAAGAACGACTCCGATTGACCCAGGGTTCCCCCAGAGGCCATTGCCGGTAAGTAGTATGGAAGGCGGTGAGACGGCGCCATAAAAACAGGCGCCAGAAAGACGATCTGCTGCGCCACAATCGGGGGTACGTCGAAGCTAGTCAAGAGTATGATAGCTCAGCACTAGTGCGGGCCAAATACGAATGCGATACGGCAAATGGCGTATGGTATTCATATTCGTATCGTATTCAGTGCTCCGAGTGCGTATCATATTTGTAGTGTATCGTATTCTTATTTTTGCGACTGAATATGAATATATGAATATATTTTGAATATATTCTCGCCACACCTTTCACGGAAAAAAATGTTTTGAGTTGTGCTAAAACATGGTCTGGATGTAGGATGATTTAACCTCAAGATTGCCTTCAGCAACCTCCAGAGCCAGAATGGCACAGGTCGGCAAATTTCAACTTCCGCATCACGCGGCTTTGATGGCCGAGTGGTTCAATATTCGGGAGCTTGCGCATCCGAACCGGAGTAATGGCTGGAAGGACATCAGAACAGATCAGACTCGGCTGTCAGCTGTGCCGGGTGTGGATTTGATGATCCAACTGGCACTGTTAAGGTCCCCAGGCGGCCAAACCTATAATTTACCGTATTCAGATATATTTGAATACGGTCGGGCCCATATCGTATTGTATTCATATTCTGCCGTATTCATATTCAGTCAGAGGTTCTCAGGCCGTATCGTATTCGTATGTATTTGAATATATTCAAAATATATATTTTCGTATCGTATTTTTGGCCAGCACTACTCAGCACGTACTCGGCAGGAATCAAGGAGTCACTGGTCCGCCGACCCCTGCAAAACCGACTGTACCTAACTCTGGGAAACCTGTGCCGGTTCAGCGACCGGGAACTCTGCCGAAATGAAATCTAGGGCAAAGATATTCAGAAAGGTATTTACTCCACCATTTTTGTGAATATTCCGGAAAGACAACCAAAATGTGGCCGGAGGCTAGGACGTGTGCGAAGGCGGCGGTAAAAAACTCGAGAAGTGTTTTTGAACGGTATACTGCTATTGATTCGACCGAAGAAGTAAATGTTCGAAAGAGTGCCGTGCCGTGCCGTCCAGTAATCTCGAGATAGTTGAGTATAACAAGCAGGCGAAGAAAGTCGCACAACGGTAGGGACTAGACTAGTGACTGTCAACATGGCATCAACCCCGAGGCAAGGGAGTTTGTCGCTGATGACCTCAACTATATTTTAACAACCGCTTTCACAGGTTGGAAAGGCGGACCGCGAAGCGGACCGTGTCCACCGCTTGTTCCGGATATAAATACGTGGCAAACACCGAATCAAACAGAGCACGACTCAACCGCTCTCACTTCGCTTTGAAGAAGGAGCAAGCTGCATACTTAATGACTGCAAGCTGCCTTCGCGCCACTTCTCTGTTCAATCTCGAGTCAAAAAAAAACCTAGCGCAGTTGGGTTGCTGTGCATGTGTACTACTGTGACTGCTTCTGTGGCGTCTTCAAATTCTCCACGAGATTCGTTCATCTCGTGCCTTGGATCGATCGTCCATACCGTACACGGTCCCGACGGCGGGCCGCATGATCTCT